ATTATTATTGTTTTTATTATTATTGTTATTATTCTTATTCTTATTCTTCTTCTTATAATTATTGTTATTGTTCTTATTCTTATTCTTATTCTTCTTCTTATTCTTATTCTTCTTATTCTTCTTCTTATTATTATTATTGTTTTTATTCTTATTCTTATTATTATCATTATTTTTATTCTTGTTGTTGTTGTTGTTATTGTTATTATGATTGAGAACGCATAAGCAGAGCGATGGATTTTGGTGTGATTAACAAGAATAAGAATGGTGGATTTGGTTAAGTTTAGGATAATTAGGGGTGAGAAACGAAAGAACCGGGCAATTAGTTACGGCGTAGATGTGTACAGAGGGGTTATTATTCATACAAACCGGCGGTGGCAGTCTTGAAGCTGTCGGTATTAACCTCCACGCGCTTTGTGATGGGCTCGAGCCTGAATGCGGGCGCGACGTGCTCGAATCTCGTCTCGTACACTGCCTTTAGAAATGCAGCCTCGTGCTCCTCGTCGCCTGCATGGAAGATTGCGCCTGACAACAACGGGGAACGTGACGTATTATTCGTCCACCTTATCGCCTATATTACTACTAAACTCTAAGACTGCCCGATCGGTGTTTAAAAATTCTGCATCGACTCAACTCAGAACAGATCTGGTTCAATTAATTATCAATAAGTATCGGTCGTCAGTTTCAAGCTTTGTGGAATGAAGAACAAATTATTTTGGTATTTATTTTCATATAAAAAAAAAATACCGAGCTCTGAAAGTAGTATTTTCGTAACCCTGGAACCTATCTTCGATCTTTACATGGTTTACTATAGAAAATCTTAATTCACTTTGCGTCGTTTTAATTTGCGTCGTGTTTTTTTGGAACGTAACCACGACGCAAAGTGAGGTATTGGTGTATATACTAAGTTTCAGTCTTTGTAGTGTTAATTCGCAATTACAAAGAAAAAATACAGTAATCACTTTTTTACGTAATGTTACTCAATGTCGTAATTCTCGTATCGATTTTCAATTAAATTAAATACAATCGAATTTGTTCGTACTATGAAATTTTTCACCGCACTTCAAATTACGAGTATCAAACAATGTTCGACGATTACTCGGTGAATCCCGTGACAAACGAAAAAAAAAAATCGTACATCCATGCGAGCGATGATTTAAAAAAAATATCAGAGCCGGTATTCGCGTGGAGATTCCGCGTTCCCGGGCAAATCGCATTAAAAACATTTTCCGAGGCCGAATTGAAAAGCGCATTGAACGCCGTTTTAAAACGAGATTGTAATATCGAATCCCCGGCCGCTGCGCCGCTCGACGAACAACGCGGTTCTAGTAATAAAATAATCAAAGCGCTGATTCCGTAATTTTACTGCCTGCCCAGTTAAAATCAATAGGACAAACAATTACAAAGTTCAAAGAGCGGACGATAAGCAAGCTTTTTCGACGAAATATCATTTCAGGATTTAAACGTCCGACGGGTCACAAATTTTCCACGTGTGTCCGCCGCGTCGAGCATTTTACTTGATTAAATATTCATATCCGAAACGAATTTATCAAACTCCGCTCTGTCGTTACTACGTCGTCGCGGCACGCAAGATCCAATTGAAATTTTCACGGCACCGGTGATCATATTAATTACGATAACTACAAATTCGATGAAAAGCATTCAAAAACTGGTGTTAATCAATTTATTTTCACGTTTCACGTGAATTTCCGAAAATATTCTCTCTCCTAATTTCCCGACGAATCTGTTCAAGCATGGTTTAAGGATGTATTGGTTATACAGTCAATTCCAAATGTTTATGTACCTTAGAAAATCGCATTTGCTATTATTAAAAAAAAATCAGACATTGGAAGAATAATGATTTTGGATGAAAAAAGTTCACTTGGTTTCTAAACAATANGTACAAGTGTTTTGCATAAATGAAGATTCATCATTAAATTACAGGTATTAATAGAATTTCCTTTTTTTGTTACTCACCGATTTTTATAGGACGTGATGCTCCCTGGATTTCCAACAAAGTCGTCAACAGAATCAAAATAAAAATGGCAGCGAGTGATTTTACGTCCATGTTTACTGATGTACAGTAATCTGCAAGAAAGATAAAAAAATATGCATGTAAATTAGGTTTTGATGAACGAAGTGATGAACAGCGATTGGCACATTTGTG